GCACTCGCATTTGGAAATGTTGAATATTTAATGGCATCAATGAAAGCGAACAGTGGGAGAAGAATCAATGGCGTGAGTTGAAAGCGATCTGTTCTCTGTCAGAGATGGCATGGGGTCTTTCAGAGCTTTAACCTCTTTAAAAGGCTTCCAGATGGGGTCACAGCTCCTCAGTTATTGTTCTCATTAAAATCAGAATCATATTAGTGACATATATATGGCATAAGAAAATAAGTGTCTCGGGCAGCTGTTCAGAACGCAGTCCCTCATGATGGCTGAGGATCTGCGGAGCCGAAGGGAAGAGCATCGGTAACATGCCTTCTAAAAAAAGATGCAGCATGGCTATAAATAGAAGTGTTAATATGGAGAGGATACCCTGCTTTTGTTGTCTCAAACACAGGCACGTATCCAAATGTGGAACTGAAAATCTTCTAAAATAGTCAAGAAAATTCTAAACAAATGATTTTTTTTTAAAAAAATTATATCACTGTGGTTATACCATGAAATTCCAAAAAAAAAAAAAAAGAGTGTTAAATCTTAGAATCTTACAAACTAATACCTGATAATATCTACAAAATACATTTTGGACAGCGGTGCATTGTAAGAGCTATGTAATGTACAGTGCAAATGCAAAAAGCTGAATTCATCACTACATATATCTCTAGGGGAGGCTAGTGGTTGCCATGGTAACCGTCACAAATGGCGACTGACGTCAGGCGAGGAGGGACTCCACGGAGAGGAGCGATACATTATACCTAACTGTACATTTATATAAACGATAAATACGAGTGCTATATAGCCTATGAGAGTGAAAAAGTAATGCATGCAAAACAAGATATGACGCATCATGAGCAGTACAATCAAACCAATCAATTTTAACATAGCATTAGTCAAACCCAAAGCCTAGATGCATTATATTTTTATTCCACACATTTCTAAAGCCTCTGAATGATCTATATGATCAATACTTTGCTGAAAACCCTGTTGCACACAATCTGCTACATGCCGTCTGATTGATAGTTCATGTTTTTTTTTTAGCAAGTAAAAGGCATTTTAGTGTAATTGTAAAAATGTTAAGATTAATACTTGCTGGACTGAAGCAACTCAGGTTTGCTTGATTATCCATGCATTTTTTTTAGAAACATAATGTTCAAATGTGAGTCTCAGATATCATAACCAGGCTTTGAGGAAGGTTTATTAGTTCATCTCTCAACCATCGTTGGCACAGTAGAACGACGACTGATAATATGCATGTTATGTCAGTATCTGCTATACTGTTAGACAAATCATTGATTTACATTACAAGCTTTTGGCCCTAAATATCAGCATCTGCACCAATATTGAATATTTCTGCTCAGTTTGAGCCTTTAATGAAATTAAGGGTGATTTATTTCCTCCATATTCTCACTATATCAGACTATATGAGCCATAAAAGCCTGATGTATCAATTATGATGCTCAACAAAAACACATACTGTATGCAAACTTTTAGTTTTTTTTTTTTTATTAAAAAAAAGAAAGATATTTGTTTCAGACGATTTCTTCATATGTCCGGCTTTATATGTGTATATCAGTGTGTGTAAAGCTGATTGTATGTCCTGCAGTTGGTCAGTAGGGGGCAGCACTGCTCTCAGAACTGAACATCAGGTTAATTAAGGATACAAAGGTATTTTATGTAATAATAAATAATGTGTTGCTTTTGCTTAAATTTTTCATAAAAAAATAATCCTCCACGATTATTGGTTTTTAAACCCGTTAAGTAGCTATTACATATTTAAAACTAATATCCTATACTAAACCTAAACTAATATTGACAAACTATTTGATTTTAACTATTTGATAACTGATTTTCAAAATAGATTACAGAAGAGCCGTAATCTATCAATTTGCAACAAGAATATTTTCATACTCCTAAGGCGTGTTAAGACCTTTATTTTGAAATGGGGATGAACATGACAATCATGAAAGATGAATTTCTAGTATATTTGGAGACATTGAGAGGGATGAAAAGTCTCAAAGCATTGAATTTGTAAAAACTTCTTACTCTACTACTTTCCTCCCTCTCTCTCTCTCTCTCTCTCTCTCTCTCTCTCTCTCTCTCTCATCTCTCTCTCTCTCTCTCTCTCTCTCTCTCTCTCTCTCTCTCCTCTCTCTCTCTCTCTCTCTCTCTCTCTCTCTCTCTCTCTCCTACTGTTGGGAATGGTAGGCTATATATTTTGTGATGTGATGATTGAATGTAAGCTCAGTCTTTTTTGTAAGACTTTCAGTTATTAATGCCTTTCTGTTAATGTTCAACAATATATGAATAATTAAATAAAAGAAAGAAGACATGGACATGAGAGTGTTGAACTTCCTCCTGATGAACCGACCTTCCCTTCTCCTCCAGGTCAAAGGTCACAGCCAGCGTTGAGTCGTTCACAGTGTCATTCTGAAGATTTAATGCAAGCCTTTTGAACACATTCTATTAGATAAAAATGCATTATCTATTCATGTTTTAAGGTTTA